TGGCAACAGCTCCCTAAGAATCCGAGACTGCAGTAAAGCCCGCATTCGAGCAATCCGATGGGGAAGGATTGCATCCTGCGGGTAGGACTCAGCCTGAGAGGAGTTTGTGGATTTTTCTCATGAGTAGGGGATCCACCGGAGCAAGGGAAAAATGGTGTAAGGATCCCTCCTCCTTTAAGAAAAGAGCAGCAGTAACAACATGGATGAACTGACCTGCACTCCCCCATTCCCTGTCCCCCTGCACCGCTGGGGGGGGAGGTAGAGCCAGGAATGAAAGGAAAGAAAAGGGTGGGGAGGTGTTGTTTTTAAGATCTGGCCTTGTTTACTGTCTATCCTCTCAAGTAACTTGTTTTGTTTCCTTTTGTCTTTGTTTAAGCAACTTTGTTTTAAGCAACTTAAAACACACGTTTTAAGAAAAAAGCCTGAGTCATGTTTTGCCCAGGACCATGGTTGGCGGGTGCTCCCTCTCGGTTCTTGCCTTGACCCTCAGTTCCTTTTATTATAAAACCACGACAGCAGATCAGCCCCGCGTTTGCCCAAGCCCTGCCCTGCACAGCCAGCCCAGCTCCCTGCAGTGGCCTTGCTCGAGGGTCTACTGGCCGTGCTGTAAAGCTCTGCCATAGAATCACAGAATCACAGACTGGTTTGGGTTGGAAGGGACCTCAAAGATCATCCAGTTCCAACCCCCCTGCCACAGGTAGGGACACCCTCCACTACACCAGGTTGCTCAATGCCTCATCCAACCTGGCCTTGAACAAGTCCCAGCCTCAACGCCAGCTGTGAAACCTGGTGCCTTCCTAACCCAGCCCGCATCACGTGGGGGGACGCACGTGCAACCCCTGCCTGGGGGACCAAGACTTTGCCAGCGTCATCTCCACATCCCACCATGCGACTGCGCACAGCCGTCACACCCGAACAGCACTGGGACAGAGAGCTTGGGAAGAACGAGACTCCTCCAAGGTGCACAGCATCTCCTGCAGCATCACAGCAGCGTTACCTCCTCTGCCATGGCCCTCAGCCTGCAGAGCCAGTCCTCTGCCTGCTCCAGTGCCGGCCACAGGCTCGAGTCTCCATGCTTCAGCTTCAGGGCTGCCTTCACTATCTGCTCCAGGTTGGTGCTGCGGAAGCGGTACATATTCTGGTCCAGGTGGGTGCTGGCCGGCGTCCCCAGCACCTCGGGCAGGGGCAGGCTGCCGGGACAAGCAGAGACGTAGCGTTAGTGGCTCGCTCACCCTCCCGTGGGGTTTTGATGTCTTTTTTTATTCTTTTTCAATTTTTTCTCCCTCCTTTTCAGCAAGCTTCCAAAGAATTAACAAGGCACCGAAGACACATTTGGGGAACGCGGCAATGCCAAGAGCAAAGGAGCTCCAAACTGCGCCTGTGACACCCACACATCAGCCGCAGGAGCCGGGACAGAGCCCTGGCTGAGCTGTGCACACCACAAACACACACGCGCACGTTTTCATGTAAATTGATTCAAGCTGCTGGATAAACGTTTCAGGAGTCCGGGAGGATCTTCGCTTTGCTGAGCCATTTAGAGGTTTTCCTCTAAAATGCAGTGATTTACGGTGCTGCCATTATTAATCACAGAATTACAGAAGGGTTTGGGTTGAAAGGGACCTGAAAGATCATCTAGTTCCAACCCCCCTGCCATGGGCAGTGACATCCTCCACTATACCAGGTTGCTCAAAGCCCCATCCAACCTGGCCTTGAACACTGCCAGGGATGGGGCAGCCACAACTTCTCTGGGCAACCTGTGCCAGTGCCTCACCACCCTCAGAGGGAAGAATTTCTTCCTTAGATCTCATAGAAATCTCCCCTCTTTCAGTTTAAAGTCATTGCCCCTTGTCCTATCACTATGTGCCCTTGTCAAAAGCCCCTCTCCAGCTTTCGTGTAGCCCCTTTAGGCACTGGAAGGCTGCTGGAAGGTCTCCCCAGAGCCTTCTCTTCTGCAGGCTGAACATTCCCAACTCTCTCAGCCTGTCTCCATAGCAAAGGTGCTCCAGCACCATCTTCGTGGCCTCCTCTGGACCCGCATCAACAGCTCCATGTCCTTCTGATGTTGGGCGCCCCTGACCTGAACGCAGCTGGATAACAGACATGGACAAGGCAATGCCAGCAGCATCTCGCTGTTTTCCTACTGTGAATGGGAGGTGGGGAGACCCCGTCCTGCTGGGACCCTTTCACCGGAGAGGTCTGGATGCAGAGGAGGACGGGGAAGCACTGCAGAGCAGCGAGGAGTTGTCCCATCCCTCCGAAATCCCAATGGAAAGGAGCTCTGCCCTTTGGCAGCATCATGGCAGGAGCAGTGGACAAGTCCAGCTGTACGGCTCAGCTCATCCCGCTGTGGGCAGAGCTCATGGAGGGGTGTGAAATCTCCCAGAAACCCACAGGGGCTGTCCTGACTGTCTCCAGTCAGCCCTGGCCCCCGCACCGAGCCCTCACAGAGATGGAGGAGCCACACCCCGTGGGAGCTGAGCATGGAGCGGATGGAACCATGGCCACATCCCGCAGCCACATTTTTCCCCTTCCAGTTAATTCAACTTGTTTTGGAGGGTCCAGCACCTCTGGAAAACCCAAAGCCGTGGCTCATCCCTCAGGTCCCATTCTGCATGCCCAGGAGCGGGGTGGGTATCAACAGCCCATTGGGCAGAGCCAGTGCGCACAGGGAGACGAAACACATCTCCTTTATGAGGCTCAAAACCAAATAAACTGGGAGGTTTTAAGCACGTGGATGTGTTTTTTTAAGCCTGTCCTTCAGGAGGTCTGCAGAGCAGGGTCAGCTGGATCAAGGTCTCCTTGCCGCTGGTCCTACACAGGTGTCACAGGAGGGTCCAGAAAGGCTGCGTCCCTGTGCCCGCTGCACCTCAGCACCTCCACAACCTCTTCTCAGGCCTTTCAAACAGCAGGGAGGGGAAAATGGGGGACCTGGGGTTTGGCAGCAAGCTGAACGCCATCTCCCCAACCTTCGGTGACTGGCATAAGCCCAGGTGGACAGCGCTTGTGGTCCTGCAGGCTGGTGGCTGTTGTGGAAGGGGTGGGGGACAACTGGCCCCAGCAGGTTTGGTGGCCTCAGGGGTAGCCAAAAGGGCTAAATTCTCCCTGTCTGCTGAAGTAAAGCACCAAGAGCCACCACATGAGCTTGGTGGTCACGGAGGTCCACCCACCACAGCCACTGGTTGCCACCAATGGGGTGTCCCAGCCCAGTGCAGGGCTGTCCCCACAGCTCAGCTGCTCTCCACTCCACTCCCAAGGCAAAGAAGCTTCAAGAGGCATGGCAGCTCTCAATTTCTCTTGGCAAAGGCTTGCCAGGGCTAAAAACACATCAACGCTCCTACTATTACCCTTCCTCAAATTGATGACGCAGAGGCTGCTGCAGGAGGGTCATAATATCGGGCATGGGACAGGACTTGCAGATCACCTTCATGGGCATACCTGAAGGGGAACCACGGTCCAAAGACCTTGGTGAGGTCAGTCCCTGAAACACCTTCCCAAGGGTTGAGCTGCCCTTGGGATAAAACACCATGGTCATACTGCAGCGATGCTCCCCTGGAGCAGCTCCTCAGCCCTAATCCAGCCCAAAAAGAAAAGCTACATGGAGGAAAAGCCCATGGCACTGTGCCAGCTGCCCTTCAACAAACCTTGCAGTGCTTGAGAAGTGCTCAGAAAGGCAGAGCAGCAGCAGATGCTGGCGGTGCTACCCACGGGGATGGAAGGATGACTGTGCCATCCAGCCCTGAGACATCCCTGTCCCCTGGTCCAGCCGTCGGATGTACAACACCTGAACAACCTCTCTAGTGCCTCCTACACAGCAGACACAAGACTCAACTGGGAAGCATCATGGGTGGCTCCTCACTCCACGAGTCCCACCATCCCTCGGGCTCCGGCTCCGACACAATGCCACTCATTCAAGTGCGCCGCGCCGCAGTCCACGCACAGAGGCTGGAAATTTATGGTTTGCCTTAAGCATCACCTTGTCAACTCCGTGCCTTTGGCTCAGCAGCCTCTGAAGCACACAGGAGCAAACGACCGGCGGTTTTCAGAGAAAAGAAAAAAAAACGAGTTGTCCCTTCCAAGATAAATAAGGGCTCCCACAATAAATGGCACAAAAAGGCTCACGGTGAAAAGCAGCAGAAGGTACCTGCAGTCAGCAATGATGTCATCCATCAGCTGGGCAGCCAGCGCATCCAGCTCGCTCGGTGCACGCTTGGTCTTGAGAGCGAGGTGGAGCTTCTCCAGGTTTGCTTCCTGCGTAACGGGTGGGGAAGAGAAGCTGCAGAGTGGGGAACCTCACCCCAGCACCCCACTCCACCCCATGTCCAAGACCCTCCCAGGGAGTGCCTGGGGCTGCTCCCCACGATCAGAAACTCCAGCCTGAGTCCCACCAGCGCTCTGCACCTCCATTCTGCTCACGTTGTGGCTCCAGGGGAAACAACAGTGAAATACAGGAAGAAATCTCATAAACAGCTGAGGAGCTGGAGAAAGGTCCTCGCCTCCTGTGCCTGCATCAGCTGACAGGTGGGTGGCATGGCAAAGTGCTGCGTTCACACCTCACTGCCATCCCAGTGGGGATGAGGGTGGTCCCTTTCCTTCCATCACTCCCCTAGCTGAGCATCCAGGGCACTGAAAGATTTCACCTCCACAGCATGACAGTCATCAAAGCCCAATCTTGACCCAGCCCGGAGATGGCCTCTGTGCCCCCCCTGTCCCCCCAGGCAGGAGGTGGCCAGTGATCACTGCCACCAGCACGTGTCTCCATGGCACTCACCAGCCTGTCTGCCGCGTGGTAGAGAAGGTTTTGGGCATCGGTCCGATAGCTGATATCTTCCCAGTAGGATGATAACACCACCACAGGCTTGATGTTGCCCCAGGGCAGGTAGTAATACTGGCAACCTGGAGGGTACACCACATTGGTGAGCACGTGATGGTGGGGTGACGGGGGACCCTACTCCTCAGGACCTCAGGAGCAGAGATGGAGGGGGGTAGTGGAGCATTTGGCCTTGGGCAGAAGCCCATCTCTGGGGCTCTTTTGGAGCAAGAGGATGAGAATTATGTTCCCTAAACCCACGTGCAACAGAGAAATGCACCCCAAGGTCCAAAGGGATGTGCAGCAGCTCCTGCAGAGAAGCAAGGTGAGAAAACAGCAGAACCTCCTGTGGGGTGAGGACATCTCACACCAAAGCAAGAGCCCCACGGGAGTCAGGGAAAGGTCACCCCAAAGCACTGGCTCTTCCTTGAAGAAAAACGGGCACTGTTAGTACCGAGGTGTTGCCCAAAAACCACTTCAAGCCAGCACAGACCTGAAAGCAGTCCTGGCTTCCCCCCTCCTCTCCAGTCACATACTCCCCCTTCACAGCATGGTTGAGGTGGGCAAAGACCTCCAGAGGTCATCTGGTCCAACCCCTGCTCAAGCAGTGTCACCTTGAGCAGGTTGTCCAGCACTATGTCCAGTTGGGTTTTGAGAACCTCCAAGGATGGAGATCCCCTGGGCAGCCCGTCCCAGTGCCTGATCATCTCCAAGTTGCTCACCATCAAAGACGGCCCGGCTGTACTGCGTGGTGGAGGCCAAGGGCAGGCAGGTGGTGTCAAATTTGTTGCCGTAGTTACCGATGCTGACCTCAAACTGGATGGCATCGTCCACATCTTGGAGCATGGTGGCCGAGTAGAAGGCAGCAAAGAGGGAGTACTTCCGACGGCGCAGGTACTTCTGCAACAGGCACAGGACCATGTCCATGGAGGAGACACCACCACCACTCTCCTACACACAGACCCTCCAGCACCCACCAGCTCTGCAAGGCCTCTGAAGTGAAAAAGTTTATTGCAGGGAAGAAAAGCATGTGCTGCAGCAAGGGAGCTACTTAGGAAAAACCTGACAAAGGACAAGACTAGAACTTTCCATAAAAAACGCAGTTTAAACCTGAAGAAACGAGCAAAAGGAGCACATTTGCAACAGTGCTCGAGTTGAGCTCCTCAGTTCTGTTGAAGCAAATCTCCCACCCCTCCATGTTCTCTACCTAGCAGCAGCTCAGATGGAGCAGGCTGGACACCTTGGGAGACACACAGCAGGAGACACCCTCCAGGAGCTCACCGACCACCGCTCAGGGGACATCACCCACCCAGGACCACCACCTGTCCCTGTGATGCCAAGGGCCAACCCCAGAGCCCACGGGGTTGGATACACCACGAAGATCCCATTACCTCCACCCGCAGGATGTCATCCACAGAAATGTCCTCCACCTTCTGCTCCACGTGCTCCACCAGTTTGGTCTCCAGCTCCACGAGCATCCTGCCGCGATACGCAACGCCCTCGCCCTTGGGGTAGACCAGGGACAGCGTCAGGACCCCGGTGCCCCCTCCCCGCAGTCGAGCTCTGCCTTTGCTTTCAACAGCATTCCTCGGAGAGGAGCAAGAGGAGGCAAAGTATTTCTGCAAGCGCTCCAGAGGTAGAGAGCGTTTGGGCAGCAGAGCAATGCCAGGAGGCGATTAGCCAGCGGGAACAGCCAGGGGCAGAAAACACAGCGCAGGCTCCTAATAACAAAGCCAGATTGGGTTAATAGCAGCTTTTTTTTTTTTTAAGCAAGGAAGGTTGGTAGTTCAGTTTAGGTTGTGCTGGAAAGAAGCCGACGTCACCTTTCCTAAATTGAGCCTCTCATACGGGTCAGGGAAGCCGGTGAACTCCCGGGGGCTGCCGTAGAGGTTGATGTAGCAGGGACCAAAGGTGGGCAGGAACCCCAGCCCGTCATCCACTGGGGAGTGGGGGGAAAGAGCCGTTAGAGAGTCCCAAGGGCACCTCGTGCACCTCCACGAGGGAGACGTGCCCCACAGGGCTTCACTGCAGGACCGTGGGGACCACACACATGCAGCTGGAGAGTACCACAATGCTGTGGTTTTCCACTCCCTTTGAGTCCTACCCATGTCCCTTTGTCCCTGCCCACAGCACGGCGGTTGGAACTAGATGATCTTTAAGGTCCCTTCCAATTCAAATCATTCCATGATTCTACAACCACTTACCTTTTTGCAGGAGAAAGACAAGGTGGGTGTGGGGCTGGGGGGGCACAGAGCCCCCTGGTCCCAGGGAGCGTGCCCAGAGAAGGAGAGCACTGCTTTGCTGGTGTGAACCAGCGTAGAGGGTTTACACCAGCCAAGGTGCTGGCCCCATGCTCCCCTTAAGGCAGTAAGAGAGCCCCAGGAGAGAATCACTCTTTTTTTTATGAAACTTTGATTAGATCTAGGAAGAAGTTTTTTACAATGAGGGTGGTGAGGCGCTGGAACAGGTTGGCCAGGGAAGCTGTGGCTGCCCCATCCCTGGAAGTGTTCAAGGCCAGGTTGGATGAGGCTTTGAGCAACCTGGTGTAGTGGAAGGGGTCCCTGTCCATGGCAGGGGGGTTGGAACTGGATGATGTTGAACGTCCCCTCCAACCCAAACCATTCTATGGTTCTATGAAACCTCAAGCAGAAGCAGCAGCGAAGGGGCAGAAACCCCTGGCAGGGTCCTGCTGCGAGCCCCCGTGCACCACCAGCTCTGCACAACACACACCGGACCGCAAAGGCATCACTGCCCAACGCGGACACCCCACACCCGTGGTGGGGAGGGGCAGTGGAGACCTTTCCCCACTCCCGAGTGCAGGGGGAGGCTGTGCTGGAGCTGTCCCCTCTCCCCACCAGAGCGCCCAACGCGCCCCCGCCCGCCGCTCCGGCCCCGACGGCAGCGGAACAGGCACAGCAGTTACCGAGCGTCTGGGGGCACGTACGGTCTGCGGCCTTCAGGGGCTTCGCAAGAGCAGGAAACTCATCTGAGGCACAAAGAGATGGAGAAGAGGTTAGGAAAGACTGGCGGGGGGGGGGGGGG